GGGGGGGTGGCTGCAGCTGCGACGCCCGGGAGATTTATGTGCGATCGGCGTTGGTGGTGCGAAACCAAAAGTTATCGGCTGTCGTTTAACTGACAACGCGGGACGCTGGCCGGCTGGTCGTCGGCTGCTGCTGCTGTACCACCACTACTGCTGCGGCCGCTGCTGCCTGAGCTGAGGTCGCCTGGGCTGAAGCCGAGTCGAGGCAGAAAAGAGGTTTTCGCCAAGGACTAGGTTTTGCAGCGCTGCAGCGCTGCGGGGCCTGTGGGCTGCTCCACGCTGTCGCTGGTATTCGCTTCTGTTGCTGCCGCCGAGCCAGAGCGCCCCTCCCCTATCCCTACATGCGACGTGTGCGTGCTGCCGAAACATTCCTAGCTTAAGAACTTCTCCTCTTATGCCTCTCTCTCCCTCTCTCTCCCTCCCTCTCTCCCTCTACTTTTGCCTGTAAGCTTCCCTCGGCCGTGCGAAAGTGACAATGTGGAGCCGCGTGGCGGCCCGAAACCATTCCTGTATCACGCTGCCGTCGCCTGCTGCAGCTGCAGCCGCACTAGCAGCTGCCTTGACACACTTGGGCTAGCGGCGGCCCACGATCTGCTGTGGCGGCGGTGGCGTCGCGCAGCCGCAGCTGCAGCCGCGGCGGCGAAGTGCAAGCAAGCCCGTGCAAGCCGTCGCCCTGATGTACCTGGCAGGACGCCGGTGGTGCCACCCGTGTGGTGTGGGCCACAACCCCTCGCCCTGCCTCTGCACTTGTGTAACCGGCGAGTTGTCGGCGCTCGACGAATACTGGGAAAGCTCATATCTCGGATGAAGAAGCGGTGGTCCGCGTTCTTTCCCTGAACTCTTCCACGAGCCTGGCCCGCTCCGAGGGGTCTCGGCCCACTCTGTGTTGGGCGAGCTGCCTACCCTTGGTTTCACAGGCGTTCGATCCTGCTCAGCACGCGTACCGCGTGCTTGATCTTAGTCCTGTACTTCGTATTTTCCGCCGTGCTTCTTCTTAAAACGTTGATGTAGACCATCCCACTGTTAGACAGGCAACTCAACTGTGTGCGAATGGAGCACACCTGGAGAGAGTGTGAGTTTCTTCGCACTCCTACTGGTTTGTACAAAGTGTGCACAACTCCGAGGAAAATTCACACCCTCACTTGGACAAGTTTGCTAATTTGAATTCCCTCGTGTCTTGAAAGGGTACAATTTAAACATTCACACATTTTTATTTGCCCAGTGTGCATACACTGCTGGTAATAATTTGGGGATGTGGAGACTGTCGGTTTGTGACTTGACTGCATCTTGCGGTGGCGCGGCTTGCGCCCTTGAGGCGCCCGGCGTGGTGCGGGACGGGGCCACTGTACCGTACCAGAGTGCTGCCAATAGTGTTACGCCGCGGTGGCGCAGCGTGGCGCAGGAAGGAAGTGGAGGCGCCGCTCATCAGTGGCTGAGCAGCCACGACGGTGAAGGTGGCGGCGGCGGCGGAAAGTGAAGGTGAATGGCAAATAAGTCTGTCCAACTGGGACAAACTTAAATACTGTGTTTTCGTTTATCGCGCCACGCCCCGCCACCACCCCGCTCATAGTCCTTATGGCCACATCGTGCCGGGCGGGGCCGGGCCGGGCCGGGGCCCCCCTGCGATGCAGCCAAGTGGCCTGGCGGTGGTGGTGGTCCTCCCACACGGGCCCCGCGTGGGCGCCACCGGCCCGGCGCGCCAACCCCCCGGCGGGGCCCCGGCGGGGCGGCGCTGGCCAAGCGTTCACCTGCGGGGCCCCAACATTATTAGGGCACATAACTGCATCGCGATGGACGACCGGGGACGCTGCAACAGGGGCGAGGAAACTCGTTGGGGTCGGAACTGGCCTGGCCGGGCACGAGGCGAACGTGTTAGTGTAACGAGGTCTCTGATTGGTCCAAAACAGACAGCCGTGGCGGACAGGTAGCTGTCCCGCAGCTGTCTGCACTGGCTCCGGTGGAAGGTGGAAAAGGGAAAGGGGGGGGGGGGGGGGGGGGGTTGGCACACAGTTCGGATGTAGGAATAATACTGTAGCCGTTCGTTGAGCTATGGATTTTTTTATGCAGTCTTTAGGACTCTCTCTACCAGACGAAAAACCAAAATTACCATTTAACTTATCATGAAAATTTGCACAAAACCATTCAAAAACATTTAGCGTCTGCTGTTTTTCTTTTTTAATCCAGCTATTTATTTCTTTTGCGTTTCCTCCTCGTAGACATACACCGGCCTAACTGCTCGCTGAGCGTTTGGTCCGGCCCGGCAGTGCGGCGGGGCGGCCCCTGCATCCACAAACCAGTAGCCATTCCGCTGCGATAACCATTAACATACGAGAGCCTTCGCATAGTCCTTCTGCATTTCCTGCGGAATCCATGACAAGTTCTGGCTGCGGTAGTGTGTGCCGCTATAGGAGCGGATCCTCTAGCTAGCTGCAGCTCGCTGCCGCCACCACCGCCAGTCGCTGGGCTGGTTTGGCAATGGATTAAAATATATTCCTGCGTATCCTGCGAGCCTGCTGGCTCGCTCGGAGCCTAGCCGCCAGGTTAACAGGGCCGCTTATTCTCCTGGTGTGGACGCCCACCACCATCGCCTTTGCACAGTAATGAAAGCTTACGTCCGATTTCATCGTAAGTTACAATGAACCCTGCAGCACTTGTCAGCTTCGGCGAATTTTCACCCTAAGCTACGGAGAATTTTAACCGTAATCTACGATGATTTTTAGCGTAAGCTGCCGTAAATTTTCACTGTCGGCTACGTTGAAAATCGTTGGACGCTTTTTACCGTGATGCGCCCAGTGATATTCACCGTAGCTAACGGTGAATATTTGAAGCTTAACAGTGCTGGTGTGCCCACATATTTTGCCTGCCCTACTACCAGCCTACGGCGTAGGAGGAGGAGGTACATCACCAACGAAAATCATAAAACGTATACAGCACGCAGCCCACGTGCTTGTATACCATCCCGTCCCTGGACCACCGCGGACCCCCCTCGGCGGGAACAGGCACGCGTCCAGCGGCAGGCAGCTGGGCAGGACGGCCAGGCCAGCTTTGGCAAGCTTGCGACACGCACACCACCCACAAGCTGGACATAGTGAATGGCTAGGACAGGCCATTTCGAGACGAAAATCCATCTTGGAGGCGCGTAAATTCTCTACGCGCCGGCGGGCAAGGCGGGCTGCTTGCTTCACTGGGCCTATGTAATTGTGTGTGGGTACAGCAGAGTGCTCTAACGTAACAAGACGGTCTGCAAAGATCCATAAGTTGGCACTTTAAATTTTAGTGATTTTAGTGCAGGAGAGCAAGTACTCTTTGAATTGCAACTTTGCCACTTCTATTTTATTTATTTTTAATATTTAAAACATGTTACAAATACGTGTTTGAAATCTCGTGAAGAATGTAACCATACATTGAGATTTACTATAATTTGATTACTTTATCATATATAGCGTCTAAAATGCTTCCATTATTATCGGCTATCAACCCTAGCAGATGCAATAAAAGAGTGCCCAACCACAGGCACAATGGATTTGGACCACGCAGGTGTGGACTTTGCAGGGACATCCTGCCGCGGCCACGTGCGCCACTGGAGGACGTCCCGCTTCACTTACATCATGCATAATGAGGGCCGATAGCAGCGCAGGTGTGCATCCCGAGCCTAGGCGCGAGCCCATGGCACGAGTCGGTAGGTTGGAGCAGGGGCGCCCTTTTTCCTCCTACCGGCGTTTGAATAACATGGCAGGGTCCGACCTTGGCGAGCTCGGCGAGGTAGTACCGCTTACCTCACACCCCCTTGTTTGTTCGCAAGTTCTACTACCACTACTCGTATCGCTGCGGCATGCGCAGCCGTGACCTCCGGCCGGCCGCATTCACTTCTGGGTCCGACGCGCCCTGAGATCAGCTCTGTACGGCTCTGTAGGCTTTATACGAGACTCTATACCTTATGTTTTGGAGCGGTTTGTATACCCATGACCTCCAGCCGGCCCCATTCGCTTCTGCCGTGGAGAAATTTCTTATCTGAACTGAACTTTTGCACGACTCCCACAACAAACATTACAGCGAGAATTTCTGTCCACAGGAGAGCTTTCGGGCTCCAGAACCAATCATAAGCGAATGGACGTTAGTTACTTGATGTAACAATACAAATGCTCAAAAAGTTCTTGATTTTCCAAAGAGCTACAAGTTGTCATATCGCTCGTCCCTAACTCAAAGCACGCACGGTGCAGCGCCTCTAGAGAAACCAAGTATCTTTGCGCGACGCTCGAGAAACCAAGTATCGTTGCGCGACTAGTGAAACCACGTAACGCATTTTTTGACGATTTTTTAGGAACTATATATTTGAATAGAGGGAAATTTTCTCTATCGAATGGTATAGGTTTCAAAAATCACCAAAATGTGGAGATACGTGGTTTCACTAGAATCGCGCAACGATACTTGGTTTCTCGAGCGCCGCGCAAAGATACTTGGTTTCTCTAGAGGCGCTGTGCCGTGCGTGCTTTGAGTTAGGGACGAGCGATATGATAGCGTGTGGACGGTATGGAACTAATATCTTATTTTAAGAAGGCCTGAATGAAAATTACCATTTATCATACCCAAAGGCCTAAAATAACGTCATAGCCGCATAAGTGATCTAGATTGGTACGACAGTTTCGTCAGCCGAAATAAAATTAAACTTTTGAAAAAGAATAGAGCGTTTTAGGTGCCCATGTTATCTTCTTTATGATAAATCTCATTTAGTGTCTTTACCTTAAGTTCAGCTCACTGTTAAATCCTTACAAACTAAGCTTACAAAGCATCCTTTGTAACACAAAGCAAATGCTTCGTATTACAAAGCATTGTTTTGAAAGTTTTACCACTACTCTTTCTCAGAAGCATTTTTCAGAATCTTCATGACTACTACTACTTTTTTGTTGTTTCCAGCGACCTTCTCCCCAGTCTCCTTCGGGGCCACATTAGGCTCCATAGAGTTAAGGTGAGTCCTAGTGAGCAGAGCATGTCGATGGCTCCTGGTCACGTTATGATCTTGTGATGTTACGTAACGGAGCTGAGCGTGCCAGCAGGATCATCAAGGGTGGGGGCAGAGATATTAGCGCTCGCGACGCTCGCGTCCTCGAGACGTTTATCGCTATGTCGTGGTGGGTAACGCTGGCTAGCGCTGGCCAACGCAACGGCATTTGGCCGGGTATCTGGTCTGTGTATCGCGACATTACATACAATACGCCTCTGCAAACTAAATGGTGCTAGTGGAGTCGCCCATTGACGCGGCGCGGGCAGGCGCGCTCACACGACATAACCCTTTACTTTATTCCCCACCGCGCCACGCCACACCACGCGTCGCGGGCGATCAGCGAACGGGACGCACCGGGATACACGACACGGGCGACGACACGGCGGCCGCCACGGCGGGGTGTTCTTCGCGACCTTGTTTTTGTCGGAAGGGACGTGCTAGTCGTTTCTCCATATTAGGAAGAGAGCGGGAGCTGCGCAGCTCGTCTGCACCAGAACATCGAGATAAATATTTTGAACCCCACGAGAAATTTTTCTCCTCGAAGGATTGTAAGTTGCAGTTGTACAACTTTGAGTTACTTGTTTTAGCCCTATTATGCTGGTATGGGATTTATGGTCAGGTCCGGGGGGTTAGGTTGTAATTGCACTTGGGATACAAGTTTGAATAGTTTGAAGTACAAGTGCATAAGGTGGCGTTTCTGAACCAATTATCTCACTAAGGAAATGAAAAAAAAAAATGGAATACCTCGATAAGGGTTTTGATTGCAGACTCTAAGTTAAATGTGGACTTGACGGGCATGCAATTTTGTTAAGTGTTGCTCACTGATATCATCCTTCTAGCGGACGAAATTCCATACAGAAGTGGCGGCATATCAGAGCCTAGTCCTGAGCTCGGATCAACGGTGTATCAGCTAAAGGGCGCTCCTGCGAAGACATGCGCGGCGTTCTAGCCGCCTGGAAGAGCCGTTCCATTAGAAGATCATCTGGCCTAGCCGAAGAGTATCACACCCGCGAGCGGCAGAAGCCCCCGGAAAGGAAGAAGCTATTACAGCCGTCCATCGGCACATCATTGGTCGGGCCCCGCCGCCCCCAATGGCCGCCATGGTTACCGCGCTTACGGTGTCCGGCTCTGGCGAAATGATTCATATGCGGAGCAATAACACAAGTGAGATGAATACAATGTTGCCTGCTTCAGCTTGGAGAAGCCATTGCTGGCCATGTGTTTGTCGCAGCACTCGAGGAGATGAGAGAGTTCGGCTCGCGATGAAATCGTCTCTAAGTGTGCAGAAGGTGACGCGTAAAAACTAGATGGCGTTCGAACATACCCTTTTTCGTAGCCGCATTTAAGAGTACGTGCTACACGGCTCCATACTCCACGTGATTGACCGTATCCCCGCGGCCGGCCACGCCACGCTCAGAGCGTTCCCTGATCGGAATCCAATCGCTTGATACAATCTGGTGGCGTCGTAGCGCGATTCCTCTGCTGCCTAGGGGATAGGAAGGCCGGCCCGTGTCGGCCCCGGCTCGGCTCGGCGCGGTCCGGATTGTCAGTGGCGGGGCAACAAGGCGCTTATTTGGGTTAATGAGGGAGTCAATGCCAGGGAGGGTAGTTGTAGCATTGTGCCGTCACCCAAGACGCGGCGGCGAGCCGGGCTGGCAGCGGGGGGAGGAGGCCCGGAGCGGGGTGGTTAGCTCTGCCTGAGAACGCCGCCGCTACCTCCTGCGTGGTCCACGCACACGACGCGCTCACCGCGATTCGCTGGAAATTAGCTGTAGACTTGTCCCCTGCTATATCTTTAAAATCGCCTTTTTTTGCCCATCATTGGTTGTCTTTAAATAAGCGAATAGGCTTTTTCGAAAAGTGGACTGGCGTTGATTTAAGAGGTGTCCCATTTGTATTTCTTTACTTCGTACTTCTACCGATTGAATCCCTTTTGTCACCGTGTGTACATGAGGCTACCAACCCCCCGCCCCCGTTCCCCGCCTCCCGATGCCTTCCTCATTAATTAGTAACAGGAATGCGTGTGTGTCCCTCGTCTTTCCCATGGGCTGCTGCAGTCTAGAATCGAACGCAACAGCCCAATACGCAGCGGTGGGAGCGCCTACGGCGGCCCGCGGCTCGGGGCGTGGCGGGGCGGGGCGGCCGGAACATAAGTAGTCGGCTCCCTTTGTGCCACCGCGGCCAGGAGGCGGCGGGCGGGAGGCCTGTGGAAGCGAGGCAAAGGCCCTCCCCTTCGGCCCTTTTTCAGCAGCGCCCTCGCTGCGCTGGGTGCCTCTTTTCCGCTCATTGCGTGCCTGAAAGTACACGATGATCATGATGCTGCGGTACCCGTCACACCTTTTCATCATATTTGAAGCCAAAGTGAAGTATCCTGGTTGCCCTCACATCACAAGTGGGCAGTGGCTCATCGCTAAGTTCCACACCACTCGAGAGGTTGAACTGAAAATTTGTTAAAATAATGATTCAGTGACCTTGAAAAGTCCCACTGTTCGTTCCGGTCACTCAAGGTGGCTGGCATTGTATGTTCTTCAAATATATATTGTCCAAGCTCCAAAAATGTTATCTGTGCATGTGACACAAACCTTGTTCCTAACATTCCGCGAAGAATTGAGTTTTTATTTTTATTCTATTTCCCAATTAAAAATATGGTCTAAATATTTTATTACGTTATGAAGAGCAGGTGTTCGTATGAAACTTACAGTACTGTATGCCCTCTAGTCTGCCCCGTTTGGGACCTTGCCGTCGGCGTTAGTCGCTTATCGACAGCCTTGGCCTTGGACTTCACCTCGCAGCAGGGCCAGCGATGCACTTTTGGGCAGGAAGCGGCGAGATATGATAACCAAATTGGGCAGCGACACAAACTTATTGTGGCTTGCCGGGGTCAGAGTATGAACGCGCATCTTCTGCAGTGATAACCGCCTACTAGAGGACCAATTCCGCACTAAAAAAACACACATAATCTTGCGTCGGCTAACGCGCAATCCGCCGATACCTCTGCCACAACACAATCATTTTCTACTTTGACATGGCTTTTCGCGGAATGGCGGACTTGAAGTTGCTGTGGACGCTGGCTTCAGGCGCTGGCTGGCCGCGCGTCGCGTGGCGGCGGGGCAGGTGGCCGGTCGGGCAGGTGCAGCGCGCAGTGTTCGATGACATGCCGCGAGGCTGCTGGCTGCTCCTCGATGGATGTGACATAAATTGGTATCTTCAATTAATTACCGGTCGGATTGGTTCGCAGGTGGAAGGGGCCGAGGAGCGCGACACGCGTGGCGGGCCGGGCCTTCCGCGTGCGCGCCAGCTGAACCAGAAAGAAAAAGTCGCGCGACCGTCCAGTAGCGATGGTCTGAGCTGGCCGCCGGCGGCAGTGCTGCTGCTGCAGCCCAACGGCCTGCTTCACCTGGTGTGTGGCGTTGCTGCAGCTCCGGGCGGCCGTTGCTGTGCGAGGACCCCAGTGATGTGATGGGCGCACGCTAGCCGCAAAAACACGCGAGAAAGAGACGGGGGAGGGGCGGTGGAAAGGGGGATGGGTGTTTTTTTGCGAGGTGCACCACAATGCACTTGGGTGTGGCGCACAGCGAGCAGGGCAGAGAAAGGGGAGAGCCCCGGGGGAGGAGGGTGGCGACAGTTCGTTTCGGCTTGGGGGCCAAGGAGCGCTGTAGCGCGCGCTGCACTGGGCTCGCCACTTGCAGCTTGGTGCATCTGCCTAAATGGAGCGAGGGGGCGGAGAGGGGGGTGGGTGCGGGAAGGCGTGCTGTGGCTCAGAGAGAGAGAGAGAGAGAGAGAGAGAGAGACGGAAGGGGTGGGGTTTGGAGAGAAAGGGAGTCAGAAAAGGGTTTCTGAGGGGGGAGAGAGAGAGAGTTTCACAAGAGTGGGGTGCTGCATTTACATGCATAGGGCTGCGGCTCGGAAGGTGGCATCGGCAACGGCGGCAGCACAAGCAGCTCCTAGCATTTCCGGGCATATTTTCGGCTGCTTGCATTTTCTACAAGGAAGCAGGGGGAGCAACCTGGCCGAGCGGGCCTGCGTATTCATTCATTGGGAGTGCTCTGTTGCTGCGCTGTTGCTGCCCGCGGCAGTCTCGTTTGCAGTGGATCTGCGCTGTAGCCACTTTGGCAGTCGGAGCTGGGCCGCCCCTCGGGGCCCGAGGGGCCGCACCGACCCGGTCGGGCTTAAAAACGGCGCTAAATGAGTGGGAGAGTGGTCCAGGGCGAGGCCCAGGAGTGTGACGCAGAGGCGGAGGAGAAAACAGTTTGCGTAGTTTGAGGAGGCGGCTCGCCGTCGTTGTTGGCCGGAGGAGAAATATCCGCAAAACTGAGGGAAGCCTAGAATTATGCTCTTAGCCCCATGACGCAGACAGGCAAGCGGGATTCGACCAAAAGTCGTTTTTTTGCTGTCGCTGTCGGTTTTGTCGCGTAGAATGGATCGCGATTGTGGCAATAGGAAAACATCATCCGAGTAAGTTTTGGTGAGCCTAGCGCGCGTCGCCTGACCATCAAAATACAAACATTTGGTCCATGGTCCGTGTCTCCGTGACCTTGCTGCTGACACAGGTTGGCTTTCGGACTGGCTTATCATCACCCGACAGTGCCCCAAAAATACGACACCAGTGTTTAATAAAAATGCACTTCAGAAAGGTCAGTTCTACAGCAGCGGACACCGATAAAATCCCCGCTTGTTGACGGTGCAAGATGAGGTAGTATCAGTCACCACTCGAATGGCCAACTCGCCAATTGCCTTTTTTTTCTTTCTCTGTTCTACCGCGCGCGCGCGCGCGCGTGTGTGTGTGCTTGTGTGCTGTGCATTTCTGCTGCTGCGCAATAGAGTTCGAAGAGTGGTATCGGTAGTCGGAAATATGGTGCGGCTCGCCACAGCGTGGATCCGTATTGCAACAACTATTCGTTTCAAACAATTGGCGGCTTGTTTTCTCTCCTCTGTCCCGCGCACTGAACGTCTTATAGGAGGTGCAAAAAAATAATAGGAGCCCCCTCCGTCTCCCCTCCGCGCTGTCCTCTTCACCCCTTTCCTTCTACTTCCACTAGCCAACTCCAGGAGGGAGGACTTCGCGCGATTCTGTTTTTGCGTTGCCTCAAAGTGGTCCCGCTAGTCCGCTCTGCTAGTCGTCCTCGCCAGCGAGGCTTAGGAGGGGGCATCACACACCGGGCCAGCTCTGAGGGCGTGTGAACGGACCGCATCTCGGGAGCGGAGCGGCACGGCAGAGCGCAGCACCGCCCGGCCGGGTACTTCAAACCCCTTGAAATAGAGCTTTAACGACAGCTTTTATCGGCAACGACTGGGACGATTTTGCCAAACGGATTTGTGTTTTGACCCTCCTCTCTTTTTCAGATGAAAGCTGCGTTTCCTGTTGATCTCTCTCTCTCTCTCGCTCACTTTCCTCCTCTCTCTCCTCTGGTGTAGCTACGCCACCCGGCTGGCTAAGGCAGGCGAGGCGCCACAATGTATGTTTTATGACGGGGAATTTTAGGTACGTACGCGTGTTAAAGCCACCGTATCAGCGCGCGGGGGGGCCAACATGACCGCGATACACAGAGAGAGAGAGAGTGGGAGGTGTGTGTCCAACGATTGTGTAGGGTGCTGATCGATTAGAAAGGGTAAACTGTTCCTCTCCTCTCAATGATTTCTAATTTCACAGAAAAATTTAATCTTTTTTTTCGGTGTTAAGAAAGTGGCGATAGAAATAGTACGCCTGAAGTGTTGCATATTATATATGTGATGTGTAATGCTAAGTCAGTGGCAGCGGCAATGAGATCTTTAAAGCGTTTTTGTTCGTACAAATATAGGACTGTGACCACTACGCCTTGCCCAATTACACTTCAAAGTCCAAACGAGTGTAAGACGAGTCCCCCCGCCACACCGTGCCACGCCACTCGTCGCGGCTGCCCTACCGACCGATAGATCGCATCGCAAAAAAGAAAATGCTGGAAGGGGGAGAATGAGTTAGGTTGACAAGGCCTGGTTACACTACTACTTGCAGCGCCTGGAATGGAATAGATTTCGCTGTCGGAGTGCCTTGTTGTGTGTATGTGTGTGGAAAATAAAGTTTATGCTTCGCTGGTAAGTGCCTTGCCGTCACTAAACAGCTGCAAAAAGATGTTAAAAAAACGAAACCGACCCGGGGTTAAAAATGGAGCACTAATGGCCAAATTAATTTGTAGGTATACCTGACGTTTTGCCTTTCAACTCTAACCCCTTCCCCCTTTTTTCCCGTTTTTTCGTCTAGGGTTGCCCTTGCTAGCCTCTTTGCTCGTTGCACGGGGGAGACTCTCTGTAATGAGAATCCGACACTGTGAGGTGAACGGAGTTGAGCTAGTGCGGTCCCCGCCACGCCCTGCCCATCCTGCGAGGTGTGGGCCCACACATGTTTGCTGGTCTGCCGAGTCATTCGAGACCTCCGCTCGTGCTGGCGCGGCTTGGCGCGGCGTGACGTTGAGATGTGAAATGGCATGAAGAAGAGCAGTGGGAGACGTAAGAGGGTGTGAGTATATGTGCGGGCGGCAGTTTTAAATCGGAGACCGTACAAAAAAAAAATACACCGTTGTTGACGATATAATACAGAAACGAACTGCCAAATTCGTTATTTTGCGCAGCTGGACACTGTACAATAAATGTTTTCATGTGTTTGTGCGCAGGCAGCGTGACACATGCGGGAGCACGGGGAGTATATCCATGCAGCTCGCCGACAAAACCCCACCACATAAAGTCTGATAAATAAAAAAGCATTTAAGGGGGGATCGAACAAAGGCGTGGCAGGCGAGTACTACACGTGAGAGTTGCTGCTGTCAAAACAGGCGCGAGCATACTCACAAACACACACACAAATTACTCTTTTACGTCATACCTTAAAACACCGCACACAAAGAGGAGGATCCGGAGAAAATCCCTGCACAAAAAACGCTTGTTTGTGTCTGGAACAGTTGGCTGGACACGCACAATGTGGAACAGTTGGCCCGGCCGACACGACCTGCCACAAGCCACCATGCGTTGCGCCACTGCGTTTTGGACCCGACCAATAAAACACAAAACAGCTTCAGTATAGCAGATGTTTGGGCCTCTGCGAGTGGGTGCGTGTGTGCATCCGGGCTGTGTGAATGCTGTTATTTAGGCGTCCTGTTCTCCACACACACAAACACACACACACACACACATCGTTTGCAAACCGCACATACCTTTTTTTGCCATTCTACCTTTCTCTCTTGCACCCGTCGGCCCAGCGGGCCATATGCGGGAGGGACTGAGACGGACGACACAGTCATTCCTGCACGGCACTACACCACCGTCTGCTGCATTTCCGCTACCATGTACGTGTTTGCGATATTTTTTTTGAGGCCCTTGTTGTTCTACGTTTTTAACGTTGCTGTTGAGGCTCGCGCCACAGGAGGGATCTCTCTGCTTCGCCCACCTTTATGATAAATTGATGAAGATATGGACGCTCTATCACGAAGCCAAAGCCCCGTATTAGTCAAAGTTAGGGGACATATTTTTACAGTTGCACGGGAACAAGTATAGCGAAATGACACTTTAATATGTACGTTTGTAAAACGTACAGTATATCTACAGTCGAGCAGATTGGCACTGCTACACTTTGGTGACACTTTTGGCATACTTTAAGTATACTTTTTGAACACTTTGGCCAGTCACATTTTTGGGTATTTTGTTTCTTTCAATGCGGGAAAAATTAAATCCCCCAATCCATCGCGATACCCTTTTTCACGCAACCCGTACCCCATAATACTACAGCATTAATTTTTTGAGTTTGATAATAACGATCCTGCTGCGCATGGCCGTGCCGCCTGTCGGGTATGCAGCCCAGCCTACTCCCGGCACGCCGCCGCCTCGCACGCCGGGGCCCCCGGGAGAGGCAGGGGACATGCGGGGTCTCTCTCTCGCAGCAGGGCAAGGACCAGTTCCCGAGTTTTTGACCCACCTCAATGCGGTTCAGGTTATCCTAGCTTCCACCGCAAAACCACATGCCACACGAACGAACCACATACTCACGCACACACCGCGCACGCCGTGTGTGTGTGTGTGTGTGCGTGCGTGCGGAGCGCGGGCATAAGACAGAGAGATGGAGGAAGGTAAAAGAAAACAAATGACGGCCGACACAAATAAAAGAGAGCCGCGCAGGGAATGTGTGAGAAAAACCGCGCTAGTAAAAGGAAACGCAACAACGCGGGCCGGGATCTCAACAACACAAAAGTTTGAAGCCATATCGGGGCCGGTGAGCGGGCCGGTGAGCGGGGCAGGAGGGGTCGGGATCGTTTGTTTGGCGGTGATTACACCTGGCGCGCCGGGGGAAGTCCCTTCGCCGCCCGCCTTTAATTATTAGCCAGACAAACAAGCGAGGAGCCATGTGGTGGCTTCCTTATAATTCAGAAGACGACGCCGCTTACCATGGGCCGCGGACACTTTCCTGGTCGATTTGGGGATGTCCTATATGGCACTGTCCCACAAAAAAATGTCTTTGGAAAAAGAACTTTTTCTTATTCGAAAGAAAATATCAGCTTGCATCAAGAGTAAATTTGATCTTGTGTCAGCGTGCACTTGAAACAAGGAAAACTTTACTTGAAACACAAAACGATTTTTCTGGGTTACATATGCGTCCATACATGTTTCGAAGTGGTTGCAATTCACTTTCCCTGATGAAAGGCCGGGCTCAAAAATCAACTCCTGTTTTACAGGAATAAATAATTGTTTGTTTTTTTTGTAAATGGTTTTTGTCTGTGTGGAATTGTGTGAACATGCTCGTGTCGGCAAGTTTTTGTCCCTTTCAGTTGGCAGAGGCCGTCCGGCCGCGGCGGCAACGCGCAGTGTTGCACCCTGGGCGCTGCAGCCGAGGCTGCAGCCACCGCTGTGGCGCACTTTATGAAAGCACCCCATCGGCTGCGTTTACGGTCGCATTGGCCAAAGTCTCACTTCGCCGCCCGATTCGTTGTCGCCACCGCCGCTGCTACTTCCGCTGCTCGCGAGACCGAAGGCCCCCACCGCCCCAGCCTCACGCGCCCCCGCGCGCGACAGGGGAGGGGGGGGGGGAGAGAGAGAGAGAGAGAGAGAGAGAGCGGGGGGGGGGTGCGCGGCGCGGCGGCGCCCAGCGAGAAAAGAGTGAGGGAGTTTAACTTTGTTGCTTGGCCTGCAGGAAAATAACTTCTCGGGACGCTTTTAGTTGCACAGATTAAAAAGCCGTGGCCCCTCTCTCCTGCAGGCCCCGGCCAGGGCCGCCCCCAGGCGCCGCCCGCAGGCTCCGCAGGCTCCAGGAGTCTTCGGGACGCTCCTCGCGGCCGAAGTATGCAGACCGCAGCGGGGAGGGGGCGGGGGGAGCGAGAGACCGCCTGGCCAGTGGACGCGCCGTTTTCGGTCAAGGAGCACGGCCACCATCATCACGCCTCTTTACAGAAATATTTACTATCTGTTCCAGAGGGCTCACTGGCGGCGGCCGCGGACGGAAAACAGCAACAGAGCCTTCTTCTCTTCGCGTCGAGCGGAGCGGATCGCTGGCAGAAGGGGCCGAAGGGGGACCGACAAGAAGAGCAAAGGGGGCCCCGCGCGCCGAAGGACCCCGCCCGGGGCTGCGGCAGGTCAGTGCCCCGGACCATCTCTGCAATGAGCCCCACCACGCCCCGCCCCGCCCCGCCACGCCCCGCCACGCCCCGCCCAAGACCGGCCAGACCAGGGCGGCTGGGCCGGCCTGCAGCGGGGCAGGGCCACCTGATTGAGAGGAATCCATCCATCCATCCATCCATCCATCCATCCTGCTGCAGCTCGCGTAGCAAGTGTGCGCCTGGCGTGCCCCCGCGGGGCCCCGGTGGCGGTGCAGTGGTGGTGGTGGTGGTTCTCGCCGAGCACCTGTCCACACCTGCCGTCTCGCGCTGCTTTGTGCGGAAATGTACGTTTATTATTATTTTTCAACATTACATTTCTTAAAGGCAGTTTTGCGCGCCCGGACGGCGCTTTGGCCTGTCCGTCGCTGGAGCATGGTCATGACTCGCGGGATGCAACGGCAAAGCTCGCAGCCTGGCAGGCCTCTGGCCGTGGGTTTGATGCGCTGCAGGCCGGCTAATAATGCGGCAGAGAGATGGATCAGAACACGAACAAAAATAAGATAAGAGGTCCGGATGGACAAGCGGCGCGTAGGCCGGGCCGCTTAAGCCGTAGTGGCGCTCCAGCGGCGCTCCAGCCGGACCATCGGCCTGGAGGGGCGAAGCCCCACCCTTAACGCCGTGGTTGCGCTTCGCTTGCCTATGAGTATTGACTTTTCTTCCAAAATGCCTAGTTTCTCCTTCCTTTGAGAGACTAGTCCCTCTATTTGTTCCTAAATCTTGTCTTCTCTAAAAAGAGTCTAAACGATTGGCATTCGAAAAGAAACGCCAAAATTTTGTCAAGCATGGTGACCGTAGGGGTCCCGCCCGCCACGCCGCACCCCGCCCTGCCCCGCCCTGCCCCGCCCTGCCCGGCCCTGCTGCGCCGCTGTCTCGTACGAGACGTCCCATCTCGGCAGTTCCGTTCCGTCCGTTCCCGTTTCGTCCGATGCCCGGCCGCGGCAATGGCAGATACACGCACGGCACGCACACAGGACCCGAAACAGGTTCTGCTGTACGGTGCTCTTTGCCGCGCTGCAGCCCCTCTGGCCCGGCCCTCAACGACCGCGGGGAATAACTGAACCGAAGCGGCGGCCGGCGGGGCTATGGCAGGTCGAGAGGGCCGTGTTCCACTTCCGCTGTCACTCGGACGTTCCCAATATCGTGGCATGGGACGGCGGCGTGGGTACGCGTGCAATGTGCGGCCCAGAGGGTGGCGCTATGCTACGCGCGTCGTTACCTCTACGCCCGGCCCGGACTCGCGTCGTGCGGACGTCATTCCAAAGTCCCATCGCCTCGCCTGGCGGCTCTCCGCGATAGGGTTTCGAGCGCCGTGGAACCAGTCGCTTGTTGGGTGATCGCCGCCGCGCGCCCTCCCCGCTGCACTGCCTTTTGCTCTCCTCTCTTACTTGTTCTTCTTGTTCTGCTCTATCGCAGTTTGCAGCCCGAAGGCGCTGCTCGCGCGCAAAAAGTTGCCCTGGCCCGTCGGTCAGTCCCGTCGTGCGGCCGGCCGGCTGACCCGGCCGTCCCGCCCGGCCCCGGCTGCAAGAAAAATCCCCAATCACGCCGTATCGGTCCAGTCGGAAGAAAAGTCCAGTCACTCGGACAGCGCCGCCGCGCCGACTGACGCGCGCTCAAAATACGGGATGCTTTTATTCGAGTTTGTTCATAAACTGTGCGGAACGTAAGGACGCCGACTTTGGCTTTGGATCATGGATGACATCCACCTAAAGCGCAAATGTTCCAAGAGGACACCGCCGTTCTAGGAGATCGCCGTCACGCAAGGACGACGCCCTGCGTCGCCCCGTTGCCGCCGGTTGACGTCAGACACGGCCGCCGTATTCTAGGCTGACAGTTATCTTCTTTTACTATGTGCGTGTTCACGCGAATGTAGATATCCCGGCGTAAGGAGATACATTTGACGGAGGGGAGAGAGCAGTTTCGGGCGCGGGGTGGGGCGGCGGCGGCGGGGCGCGCTGGGGAGCGTGATGTACAGCGCGCCGCGGCCGGCCTGGATTACCACTGAAACGTAATCTTTGGGGCGCCGGCGCACACCGGGCCCGCTTGGATGGATTCGCGGAATGACGGTATAAAACATTCAGCCGCTCGGAGCGTGCCGCGTCCGGATACATCTCGTGGCGATACGCCCCATCCAACATCACGCCGGAGGATCTCTACGTTTGGGCTAAAGTGGCGTTCAGTTCTTCTCTGCCATGGCTTTGTGCCACTTCCCGCACATTTCAAGACAGTCTCAAAATGAGTTTACTAAAACAACAAAAGTATAAAGTAAACACAAGGACGATTTAAAACAACAAAACAAAAAAACAAAAAACAAGCCATTCTGCAAATTTTCTAGAGTGTTGTATAGCAGTGCAGTGGTTGCCGACATGTTCGCGGTATGGGGGCGATGATTACACGGCCTGCAACGAAAAGCAGCGCGCGTAGTGGGCTCCGTAACTCATCATCACCCCCAGCCCGCCCTGCCCTGCCCTGGCTAGGCCTGGCCCGGCCGGCCGGCTTCCTCGGCTTGTTAGTTAGTGGGTTAGCGCCGGGCTCCTCCGGGCTGAAGCCC